GCGGGATTGGCCACACTATGTACAGTGTCAACAATACGTTGCAAGACGGATGGTACACTTCACACCTCCGTCCAAGCAGCTGCCCTTCTCCTTGGGCAGGACGCAGATGTCGCCCGGCCTTCTCTTTTCGCACAGGAATAATCATCCGCCCTCGAAGGGAACCGCCTCATAAAAGGGCACGTGCGTAAGACGAAGGGAGAGAGACGCGGCAGACAGGCCAAGCCACACAGGGTCCAGCTCCACCGCCTCGTCCTCCACCCGAGGTCACAGGGTCTCTTGGGGGTCTCATATCTATCTCCAACTATAAACCAACAAGCTAAAAACCTTTCATTTGACCGCCCCAAGACTATCTATCTTAAGCCTACTTGCAGTGTCCCCCGACCCTGATAAGACCCAAGTGTCTACAATAACTAGGATAAAGTAGGCATGAAGGTAGTCGCGAATTCTATGAATATCGTCGCATATCGATTGAAATAGATAAAGAAATGAAACTAAATTTTAAAAAGCCAATCCCCCCATCTTATTAATTAGTATACACCATATCCCTATAACCCATATTACAACAGGTATAAAAAATTGACATTCAAAATTGAATAAAATATTAATCATTTTCGATTATGGCAGCCTTGCCATCCGATTATACCCTTGTAAAGCAAAGTAAAGGTTCTTACTGATTCCATCCATTATTGTTTTTGTTTTTTTCTGTTATCTTATCTGTGGATGGTGTTCCCACAATTGTTCTCTGGCTCTCACTCTGTCCATCAGGCCGTAAAAAAAGCTTAAGTGAGCTCGTTCCTTCAGCGTGTCGGGGTGGGTCCTTGATCAAAGAAATATTCATCTGGAAAATCTTTAATGTTTTAGTGGGGCATCACTGATAGTTGTACTATATATTACTTATTTCTACAGTACAATTGTACCTAACTTAATATAATAATTTCCAATTAGACAATCTAGTAATAAGTTTCCTAATAATAATACTACAGTACTTCTTTTAGCATCATCTTTCCCTCTGTTGCTGGGGCGAAAGACCAAACAATGCCGTGCTGCGAAGGGATTTCATCTCGCTTCCCTTCACAGCTGGGGAAGTATCCCGCTCTGTAAAGGGATCCCTGGACATAATAGACTAGTGTGGCTGTCCTTCCTCTGTCGCCCCAGCTAAAGAGGAAAAGATGATGCCAAGACAAAACTATAGTATTATTGCTAGCAATATTATTACTTCATTGTTTAAACGGTGACTATTATATTATGTTGAGGCTCGTATGAGTAGATAAATTCCAGTTGGTATTAGAATGCGTGGATAAATTTGTTGCATCTAAATCCACTGGGACCGTTACCTCTGTTGCACTATTGACTGCAACACTTCATCCTAATGCACTGCCAGCGATAATTGTCATGGTTTACCCTACCCTTATCACTACTGCAGTTTATTATGGTAACTATGAGTTTATGGAAAATATCCTTGATATTGCTAACACCTGGTTTTCATAAATGGACTTTCATACGATGTCTATAAAAGTATCTTGCGAAGTTAAACGCGCCTTCTGTACCCACCTGTATGACTTTATATTTTGCTATCGTAATCTCTTTTCGAGACCAGTACCTTTACGGCACGACCTGGATGTAATTCCCCGAAGAGACACAATTCCATGTTGATTTGTAGGCTGCAATGACATTTAAATGGGTTCGTGAATTTTATATTATGTAGAACATTAACTGCGGCTTCCTGCATCGATCACCGACGCAACCTTTCCAATCCACACGCGCAGCCGTAGGGAGGGGAGTGCGATGCGTAGAAAGCGACTGGAAGGGGTACTGCACAGAGCCATGGGGAGGGGAGGGGAGGGTAGAATAGCGTAATAAAAGATCTCGGAGTTGAAACGGCTTGGGTCACGCATTCTCCAGATTCTGTCCAAAATCTACGACGCAGTAGTAATATAGCGAGTGGAACTGATATCTATTTCATTAAGCATGAGTTTCAGATATATCACCCCCTCAGTACTGATAGCATTGTTTCCGCGGTTCAACTAAAGCGTATGTGATTAGAGTGGGGGCATGTCAGTGATAAGAATATTTACAATTGTGACACTTCATCAACCTTATCATCTCAACGTCCTGCCGATATTCAATAATCATCAAAATTCCCCTTTGAATACTGATAATGGTGCTTGAAGAGACAAGGAACAATAAGCGACCTTCAACCAAACTTCTTTGAAGGACCTGTTATCAATACGATGTTAAATCAACATATTGATGCAAGAAACATAGCATGTAGTTAAAAGAAAGCGAATTAAAGAATTAAGTTTAGTAAAGAAAGAAATTTAATGTGTTTATTTCTCCTTATTGATCTCGAGCCCTATAGCAATAACTCAGGCTTTGAACTGAACAAATTAAAAGTGATATCTCACGAGAAATAGGTGAGATAATTTTTTTTTCATTGTGTTTTATTAACAAGTGTACCCAATATTTCATGGATGTATATATGGCACCAAGAAGCTTGCCTTTTCTCTACCTGTGCTTCAAATAGCACCTTTAAATAATGGAGTTTTGGTTAAATATTAGCGCCCTAAAATTAAAGAATGGCTGGAGAGCACGGTTGAACAACCAGCAGCCATGTACTGCAACATCTGTCGCAAAACAGATGACAGTGGTGATAAAATATATAAAGTGAATAAAAAAATATATAACAATACATTTCGATTTATACTGTACAACATACACAGATAAACAGCGGAAGCACATACGAATATAAGTTATTACTTGCATCAATTACCAACTTCACTCATAGACGCTCGGGGGGGGGGGGGGGGGGTGCGTGTGCGTGTGCGCACCCCCCCCCCCACACACACACACGCATGCACGCACGCGCACACACACACACATATCCACAAACACGAACCCACGCACGCGCTTATCGTTAGGTCAGAGACCTGGAAATGGGAAAGGATGCTGTGTTGCATTAGTTTCATGACAATTTGCAGAACGTCTCAGCATTCAATGCAAACAGATTTGTCACAAACGTTGAAATACAACGCAGTCCAAACCGCTTTACCATCGCAACAAACACACGCGAGGCCGCAACTCCATATCGCTCATTCATTTCAACAATGACATAACTCAAAAAAGGATACTTTTCAGGAGAAGCAAAATAAACTTTTAATATGTAATACAGTCTTCCATGTAAGTTTTAAAAGAGGTATTTAGCAATGAAGTTTTATTTCAGGATTCAATGTAGTGCATGACATCAAATATAATAAAATACACTTAACTGAAATAAAACGCTATGCCAACTAAACGATTCGTCTGAAAGAAAATGAGTCACTATGCCTTGAGCGACATATAATGGACCATTTTGATACTAGAGTTATGGCGTTCTTACCACAAATAAATATAGAAAATGACAAATTCAGTGATATAACTAACTCAAAATCTTCAATTTTTGAGTTATGTCACTGTTGAAATAAATGAGCGATATGACGGTAAAACATGTCTTGGTGGTAGATTTGCAACCAAGGCAGAGCTCTGGCGAAAGAGTGGTTGCGGGTCTGATTCCCAAACAAGCAAAACGTTTCGGGATGCAATGGACTGCAACATGCAATCCGCTTTTCCGGTAGTAAATTTAGGAATGAGAATATTTTTACAACACAAGAGATGCATTTAAGCGGTTTTGAATAAATCTTTCGAATATGTTTTCCTCATGTGTATTGCCTGTGGTCATCGTCTGAGATTTATTTTTAAATAAGGGTTGGTGTTAAGAACATTCTCTTCCCTTCTATGCCACAGGATCCCAGATTCACCCCCCCCCCCTTCCCCCTGATAGTTTCCTAACGTGAACCCAGTATTACCTTTTGTCGTAGGCAACTTTACATATCTATAAACTAGTAAGGATAGGATTCAACAGGCGTTGTGATGCATTATGAAGGTCATATGTGCTTGGTAAGTGACGAAACCCTCTGGATCATGTATGCAGCTCATAAAGGGAACTGCATTCACTACGTATTGGTAAACAAATGAATAAATTTGGTCATTGATGTTCATCGACAACAACTGAGCCGGAAATCTGTGAGTCACACGCACACACTCACACTCACACACACACACACACACACACACACACACACACACACACACACACACACACACACACACACACACACACACACACACACACACACAGAAAAAGAGAGAGAGAGAGGGAGAGAGAGAGGGGGGGGGGAGAGAGAGAGAGGGGAGAGAGAGAGAGAGAGAGAGAGAGAGAGAGAGAGAGAGAGAGAGAGAGAGAGAGAGAGAGAGAGAGAGAGAGAGAGAGAGAGAGAGAGAGAGAGAGAGAGGGGGGGGGGAGAGAGAGAGAGAGAGAGAGAGAGAGAGAGAGAGAGAGAGAGAGAGAGAGAGAGAGAGAGAGAGAGAGAGAGAGAGAGAGAGAGAGAGAGAGAGAGATACACGAGCTGATTACAGTATTAACCACCTTGCCTTGCTGTTCCACACCACTTCGTCGATTTTTCTTATTAGTTTGTGCAAAGGGTAACAATACTAATTTTTCTGTTCACCTCTCAAGGGCCGATCACACTAGCACCTTTTCAGCAGAAGTCAGACATTACCTACCGACCTTTTCCCCTGCCAACTCTTTTTGTAAGGTGTGGGCGGACATTTCTCAGCTGGCCGTTTTGCGCAGGTGGTAATTTTCTGTTGAAGGTTAGGTATTATATCGATTATATCTTGAGTTTTGTTACCGTTTACCTTTTCTCACTACGCACTAAGAGGGGAACAAGGAACATTTTTATAAGTGGTTCAACTTCCGTGTCACTATTACTGATCTAGTGGTGAGCTGAATATAATGTCCAAAGTGTAATTTTATTTTTCATAAAAAAGGCCGGCCTCCTCTGGTGGTGGTAATAAGCTGCGTGGCGGTTATGATGGTGATACGGCGATGATTTGTTTTTCATATAAATAGCATATGTGCTAAAGAACAAGGATAGATAGAGGGAATGCATCACCAGGAACAAGTTCTGGGTAGATTACGACGGTGATACAGGCTGATAAGTAAAGTTGGAGAACTGCCAGTTCCTGTGCAGTTGATGATTGTGATAAATTATAAACTTTCTCTTTCATATACACATTAGTCAGAACAAGTAAATGGTAATATTAAATTAGCACATCAGCATTTAGAATTAGTCAAAAAAAATCAAAGTTAGTCCTATATCCATGTGGACATAGGGGACATGTTTGTAGAGAAACGTGCTTATTAAGCCATGGGATGATGCAGTACGGTGGCCAGTTCCTTTCTGCTAGTACTCTCGTACAGCTGAGTCGACTGAAAAGGGTGACCAGGTGCAAACCCAGGACCTTGTGACTGCAAAGTAAGCATTCTACCACTGAGTTATGCCACCTCTTAAGCATTAGTAGCAGAGGCAAATGTGTTTTGTAAAAGACATAAGCACATATTTCCCGTAAATGTGAATTGAAATCTGGGAATGTCTGTAAGCACCAAAATGCAAGTAGGGAAATGCCCAAGCACACATATCTACAATTAAGGAAATGCCCACCTGTAAAGCAGAGGCATCATTTCAGCTTCTGCTTGGGGATTTTAGCAGGGGATTTTTTTTGGGGGGGGAGGGGGGACATGGTAAATAACAGTTAATAGACTATAAACAAAATCCTATTTGCATAAAGTTAAGTCTATGCTGCCTAAATGTTATGGAGTATTTTAAATTTCTATATACAACTTTCTGGTATTCACAGATAATATATATAAATTTATTCATATGTTGCTGTTGAAGTTCTACTACCACTTGTTCCAGTATAGCTTTATGGAAAAAAATGAGTACCATGTGATCACAATACATATACGTTCAGAAGCAAGCATATGCTCTTGATCCATTTGTTTAAGAGGTAAATCTGGTATTACTGTATGTAAATATACAGTCTGAAGATATGTATATATATTCTGCTTTGTACATGTCTGTAATCAAATTCAATTAGCTCTAAAAGTTGTTGGGGTGTGGCCCTTGGGGAGTGTGTGTGTGTGGGGGGGGGGGGGGGCTGCCCCTGCTGTAAAGTATACACATTGGGAAATATCCGTCCTTGCAAAATCACAAGTAGGGAAGTGCCTACCTGTCAATAAAATAGCAACTGGGGATATGTCCTACTGTCATGTATGTATGTGTTAACTAACACATATATAGATATAGATAGAAAATAAACACTGGAGGATGCATTTGTTCTTAAATACACTGAAAAGAAACACAAACTATTTTGCCCTATCACAGATGGTCATCACTAGCTGGAACGGTTTTATGGAGGACCAGCAATTACAATTTGATACAGATATTAAAATGTTTTTTGTTTGCGATTCATCACTGACAAATCACAAATATTCACAAAGTAAGATCAATCTATGGGTAGAGATTTGAAGATGTGAAGATACATAGTGGCTTAAGCTCCCAGTTTTGCTTGTATAACCAATTGAAATAAGGAAGAACCTTAGTTTTTATATTCTGAAGGTATAATGGATAGTGAGTTGAGCTCTAAGAACCTCTCCCTATGTAAATCACTCTCCTTTGCTAAATCACATTTGTATATTTACATTTCAATATTGCACTGACTGAGTTGAATATTTAAGGGTAAGAAAATAAAATGCACTGTTATTTACAAATTCATATTCTATTCTGATGTGCACTTACAGTCAACAAGAACATTCATTCAGACTTCCCTCATTCGTTACCCTGATTAACATTGCATTTACTCCACTACGTTGCCACTTTCTTTTTCTTTGTCTTCTTTTTCTTTTTTCTGGCTTGCTTATCTGCAATATCTGTCATGTCATTATCACCCCTCTCCTCTTCCCCTTTCGGCATGGCTTCTCCATTCGTCATTTTCATCCTTTTGCTTTTGTCCTTCATTTGTCTGAAATAAAAGGAATAATTATTACATTACATATATACAGTACACTTTGTCGATCAGTTTGTTAATTCACAAAATACAAGGATATTAAGCTGAACAACATACTTCATTTTCCTCTTTTGGAGCTTCTCATACAAGACCCCCTGAGATACGTGTCCACGCTCTGGATGTTTAGTTGCTAACTTCTTTTTCTCATTCTTTGTCGCCTTCTTCAGTTCGAGCATCCATTCAGGAACATGCTGGCCAGAGTTATGCATTACAAGGGCAATGCTGTAGAAGAGAAAGAAAGAAATGTTACAAAGCATGAAATTTTGAATTTTGTAAAGTATTTCCTTTACGATCTCATCTTAGATGCTACTTTAATAGGCCTAGGGAAACCCTTGTGCGAACATTGCTGCCTCTATATGACTGGAGGAGGCTGTATGAGGATAAAGTTATCACCTTACTTTTCAAATATTCATCCAGCAAAATGACACACTGGAACATGTTGATGGTGATGGAAAAATAACATGATACCCAACATCAGTTTGCTGAAAGATGAGACAAGGGAAAGGTCTAAAGACAAGGGAGAGGTCTGAAGATGTGGGATGCAAGGAGACTGATGGAGATAAAACACTGTTAAGGTTAATCCCCAATCCCTTGCTTCTTCTTGTCGTGGGGGCTTAGGAGACAGAGGGTGAGTTCCAAGGTAGGAGATCACCCCTTCCTTGGAGGTCAGCCCTCAACTCAACTGATTTTGCTTGGATTTTTCTTCTCTTTTCCTTTTCCTTCTCTTCATCCCCGTCTTCTGGCCACTTATCCTAATAGTTAACTCACTTTTACCCTTTTCACCACAATACTTTACCTTAATGCTATATGACCTTAGATATCAAGCACATTTGCTTTAACCATTAACCATTCAGGGAATCCACAACCAAAGAACTTCTTTATCCAGGGGCTTCGCCCTCAAGCCCCACCCTATTGCTATATTCTAAATAATAACCTTAGATGTTGATGCAACTAAATTTTTTCAATAAATATATAAATGTAAAGGTAGAAACAGGGCAATCTGTTTGTCTGAGAGCATTCAACAAGTCTGTGGGCATGAATATTAGGAGAAAGAGACAATGAGCCATGCTGACCAATCCTGTGTCCACATATGATAGAATAGCGTTTGGTCTGTGTGGTCCCTCGAAGTAATATACTTGTGCTAATATTTATGCTTGAGACAGGCAGCAGCCTCAACAAAGTAGTTTATCACAGATGGGATAAGAAATTACAACTCGGCCCATCTCTGACATCGGGAGTGTTCACCTGGCTAAACATGAACTTGCAGTTGAGAGGGTGATAGAGGTCACAAAGAGAGTAGATTTCCTCAGAAAGGACACACTGAGAACCAGCAGGTAAGAGAAATTGAGAAAAATTAACAGAAAGGGCAAAGATAGGCCAGGATCCTCAGGGAGGTGTTACCTCTGAAGGAAACCAGGGACATCATGAAGCATGACAAGCAGTCAACACCCAAGCTTATCATGGTCACATGTGAGACACCACAGACTGAAGTCCTGGTGCATGTGAATGGGAGAGAAAGTGCTTAAAAAGGGTGTGAGGCTGCACTAACCAGGAATCAAGGGGGCACAAATGCATGCCAACTTATAGGTCTTAGGTAACCAATAGAAAAGAGGAAGGAGAGGACTGATTAACACCTATGATCCAGTGGCAGGTAACATGGACATGCTGTCATGGGAAAATTAGGCTGTGGGCCGGGGTGACAGGAAAGACTTGCCACAAGTGCATAAAGCTCTTGGATGGTGACTGGATTATACTTAGTGTTTAGGAAGAGGCTCTTGCATTATCTCCATTGATAAACAAGTGTGGAATGTAATGTCCATGAGCCATGACTTGAAGAGAGCTGGCTCAGGATCCTGATGGTGCAGGTTGTATTGCAGAAAATTTAATAATATGAAAAAACAAAACATGGCACTAAACAATAAAATGTTACTTATTGTTATTATTCTTGCATTGAGTTTCAGGCTACCTAGAGAAATGATATGAGGTTTGTGCATGGACAACAGTCTATTACCTTCTGAATAAAGTAAATCAAATGACAAATACAGACATTAGAAAGTGGCCAAAAAAACTAAAAATGCTTATGCCAGAAAAGGCAAAAGACTGCAACAAGGAAGCATGGAGTCTCTCCACACAAGTGCTTGTTTGTACAAGCTTTTCAACTGGCAGTGTGTCCTTTCACATAAGCCTAATGCCCGTATTTTGGGCCACATGATGGCAGTGAAGCATCCAAATCCAATAGGTTAATCCTGACTCTTTGGTAGACATTCATCCAAGATCAAACACATGGTAACTGCTTCAGGCAATGATAGAAGGTGGTTGTAATGGTTTCTTGGGGGTTGCTTGTTAATGAAACATCAGCAGAGGTATTAAACAACAGATCCCATGCCTTTTGCAGGTAGAAAGCACAAGCAGGGGCCACCACTGAGAAACCTTTAATAGAAGGTAAAATAATGACCATACTCCCTGCACAGGTTTTGAAAGCCCTCTCAGAAATGCTTGGTCCCACTTTCACTCAAAAATGCTGTTCCCAACTTGTCTTCCCTGTCCCTGATCCCTCACCAACAACTCCTAGGCTTTGGTCATTCCATTGCTTCTAGTATTTGGCATTAGCCCATTGGATGCAAGTGACATGATCTTCACGTCCCCCCAAAATTAGCTCACAGCCATCATGAAATATTTTTCAAGGGGGCTGAGGTGACGAGAATGATTCATCATGAGAAATTATTGCGGAGTGGCGGATGATGCAAATTTCTTGTCATGAGTGCACAGTTTCAAAGTTATTGGAAGAATATTAAAGTCCATAATCATATTAAAAATCTAATGACTGTTTATGATTTCATTTATCTGCTCTTACTCCCTTCTTTCTTTTTACATTTGTTGCTGTTTGTCAGTACCTGAAATCAGTACAGATGCCTGCATTTTAGTGCCATTTTGTGCTAGTAAGAAGAGATAGCATGTCTCTGATGTACATGATCTTAATGCATTCAGATCTTGATCAAGTCTCTCAACTTCTATTTGCACAGATTTGCTTTAGATTTAAGCAAGTCATTTAATCCACTGGATCCAGTTGCGTCACAGTAATCAAACTGCCAAAAGATGCAGGCATTAGGCTTATGTGAGCGGCCGCTTTGCCAAGTGGCTGCTTGTAGGCCGGGCACGCAGAAACACGTGTGTGCAGTGGCTCTGTGTCTCCTATTGCAAAGTTATTTACTCTTTTTACGCATAAGTGTTTTAAGCTTTTTGGCCATTTTCCAATTTCCATATTTGCCATTTGGCTCATTGATGACTTAGTACATGTGGAGCCATCTATGTGTCAAAACAATTAATAAAGTAAACTTACAGTGGGCATGGCACGTACATACATGCCATGCCCATCAGTTTTGGGTTAAATATATTAGAAATGTATCCAAATATGCTAGCAAATCAGAAAATAAACTCCTAAACAAGGCTCTTTCTTTATAGCATTTCCAATCCAATATCTACATTTATTCTGAGCAAATCTTACTGCTACTGGAGAGAGTCTGCTAAAGATAAATGCCTTAATAGAAGGTCTACATGATGATTTGTTTTATAATCCCACATATTTTTACAATTAACATACATCATTAAAGAAAGATTGAAAGAAAAAGAAGAAGAAAAAAAAGAAAACATCTTTTGGTGCAATGTCAGAACACTTCATGACTTCTATTCCAAACTACAAAAGTATCTAGAGAGTTGCCAGATGTTAACATCCTAAGGAAACAAGGCCTGTAACATACATTGTGTGATATTCACTATGCATAATATCATATGAAGATAGAAAAAAAAAGAAAGAGTAGAAACATTTTAAAATTTTGAAATAAAACTTATCCAGTCAATTTCCCCTCCATCTTACCTCCGCAGATATGGCTTATCTGCCATAGTCCAGAATGTAACTGCTCTTCCTTGATGTTGAGCTCTGCCAGTCCTTCCTACTCTGTGAATGTAACTGATAGCTGAAGGCGGGAAGTCATAGTTGATGACAAGGTTCACCCCCTTGAAGTCAATACCACGGGCCATGAGTTCTGTACATATCAGAACCCAGACTTTCCTTTCTCTGAATGCCCGGACAACATTATCACGCTGAAATGTATAAGAGAGAGTAAGGTATCTAATTCTTCAAGATGCTGAGAAATTGAGATATAATAAAGAGGAGTGCTATTACATTTCTGAGTTTTATGAACACAAATATAAAAATTATCTCTTGCACTAAATTTTCTAAAATATAAGAAGGGACTCTACAGAATGTTAATCACATTATGTGACATTTTGTTTACAACAATTTTCCAATAACATTTTTGAGCATACTAAGTTGTGCTAGTTAACACAAACACAAACCTGCAGCTGTGTTCGATCTGCATGAATGGCATCCACCATTAGGTTGTCGTAAATCAGCTCCTTGAACAGTTCTTTCGCTCGCTCTTTGGTCTGCACAAATACTAGCACTGGAGGTTCATATCCCTAAAATTAAGTAAAATAAAATCAGACATGTTGTCATGATATATGTCAAATCATCTGTACAAGCTTTCAATTCTCTGAGGCAAAAATATACACTCTACATTGTGCAGACATGCTAACCTGCTTTCTCTAAAATACTGAAATCATGAAAAGCTAAGAAATAAAAGCAGCAGGATGAAATTCAACCCACAGTACTACAAGAGGCCACCGACTAAGTGAAACAAATTTGACAGAATTTCGTCATTTCCTTCAGGAGTACATGAAATGACAACAAGACATGTCTCACCTTTCGGAATATCTCTCGCAGTGCCAGAACTTTACCAGTTTCATTTCCACAAAACACCAACTCTTGTTTCACATCTTCACATGCTGTATTTCTGAAATGTAGCATGGGGAAAAAACAAAATACAGTTCATGCAGATCAAACAAACATCAAATCTTTATGCATTGGATATGGATGATGTATAAAATAAGAGAAAGTTCAAGAATCATACAAAAGGCCAGAAACAATATAACCTACCTTATGCCAACTGTAACCATAGCAACATTATTAAGATTCAATTTACACCAGTGCTGAACCTCGTGAGAAAACGTAGCCGAGAAAAGAGCCCGTCTGATATTGGGTCCAGTGCAAGCACGATACACTGCAGCTAACTGATCCCTGAATCCTCGCGCTCCTCCCTCGAAGAGGCGATCACTCTCGTCGACAACCAACCACTCCACACTAGAAAATATGAATAGATATAAAGAATGTAGATGTAATTTCCATTTTTTTTTAGTGGGGGAGGGGAGGTCATTCTCCCTGCACCCTGTTACCCCAACCTTAACATCAATGCTTTGAAGAAATCATTTTCTAAGAATGTATCAGAATTTACAGACTCTTGCAAGCCTGAAGACAAATCCTACTCACTTGGATAAATCAATTGGAGGCGTATCATCCTCTTGCAGGAGAAATACAAGACGATTTGGGGTCGTTACCAGTACATCTGAAATTAATCATGTAATGTAGCTTTCATAACCCAAAACATGCAAAAAAAAAAATTCTCATAACATATAAAACACTTTTTGAGACCTTTTAGGTTAGGTCCTGTAAAAAGAAGAAAAAAAACAACACTTTCCTGCCTAAACATCTGAAGACTATGATAATATGATAATGAATATTATTTTACAAGTAACTTATGCTTATTCATTAATATATATTACAGTTTCATGAACTAAAAAGACAATAATTACATGCAACACAACACATGATCAGTAGGCAGTTGGTTTATGTAAGTCAATTTCATGGAGCTTACCAAATTTTTTTGCAGACTTTGGCCCAAACTTTTCTTTTGCTTTGTTCACGTTACTAATGATGTGAACACGTAACCCAAGGCCCTCAGACAGTCTTGTACACTCTCTGCAAAAAGACTTAATTAAATTCTGCAAAGTGACTAGCCAAATCCACTGATTCACTGTACTACAGACCATTTTTTTGCATCCTTTTCATATTTTCTTTAAATAATTATTGCCAAAGTCACTATACTGTTTCAAAAGTGTAAACTAAAAAAAAAATAATAATAATAATAATAATAATCTAGAATATCTGGTAGAAGAGCTATCAACAGCATATCCCACATGTACAGGTTAATACAAAATTTATGTTAAAAAAATAAATAAACAAAATAAAATATATAATGCTAACTATGACACTTCCCTGAGCCAATTTCATTCAAAACATACTGCTGATAATGTCTTAAATTGCTATTCTAAAACCACACACACGCATGCACACAGAGTACAGTGCAACACATCAGAGAAGTACAGCTCTTACATGTTATTAAATATGGAAAAGATCAGGCAATGGGTGGTTTAAGTATGCTAGCCTTGGGTTCTGTAAATGTGTACAGTTCATGTTGAAAGACTAATTTGGGTTATAAAGTGAACAAATAAGAGAAAAATTGAAAGAGATATTGAGGATTTGTGATCAGGGAAGTGAGAGCGAAGGAGAGGGAGGCGAGAAGTGACCGCGAATATTGCATGGTAAGCATTTTCATGCATAGAGACAACTGCCATGAGTACAGCTCTATTTTTGTGTTCGTCTTATGAGTAACCACTCAAACCATGAAAATGAAGCAAGGAGAAGCAGCAGTTAGAAAAAAAAACTTGTTCATTTAGAGGGTTAGAGGCCTCCAAGCAAAACAAGTTTACTATCGGTTCCAAAATGTGGAGACAGACAACATTAGCCTTGCAGCCAAAATGAATACCAAAAGATTATTTAGAAATAGTATATACAAATATACAGTAAGTCCCCTACTTACGAACATTCTACTTATGAACATTCCATACATACGAACAAATTTTTAAAAATAATTGACTAGGAAAGTTTTAATCCCAGATCTCAGCCAGATTTGTGGAATGCAAAATTACTAGAAGTCATAAATGAATTTTGTCTCTTCCAGAATGTAACAGATCATACCAGAGGTTCATAAAACACTATGGCTGATTGCCAACATGAACAGGGCATTCGTGTATGTGGATGAAGACATGGTAAAGAAGGTTATTACAGCCATCATAAGACCTAGTCTTCAGTATGGTGCAGTGGTATGGAGTCCACACTTAAAAAAGGATATAGATAAACTAGAAAGAGTTCAATGAGCAGCCACAAGATGGGCACCTAATCTAAGAGATATGAGCTACGCTATGAGCTACAATATGACCTACAGAAAATAGGTCTTACTACTTTGGAAGAAAGAAGAAAAAGAGGTGACATGATAATGATGTTCAACTACATTACAGGGGGGATGAATTTAGACAAAGATGACTTTATAATATTGAACACAAGAGAACACAACAAAAAGCTGAAAGTTAAATATAGTAGATGGGACCATCTGAGCTTTGCTCTTTTACGTATTGAAACAACAAGGTAAGAAACACACATACACATACACACACACACACACTCACACACACGCACATGTACACAAACAGCTCACCTGTAAGTCTGTTTGGCCAACTCTCTGGTAGGGGCGAGAATTACAGCACGGAAACCCTTCCTCTGCGGGCCACCAAGCTGATTCAGAATGGGCACGAGAAAAGCTGCAGTCTTGCCTAGGAGTACAAATACATAATCGTTACATTCTAGAACTCTCTTGCTAATAATACTGTGTAAAGAGGAATCTCATGCAAATGTTTTGGACAGCCTAAAGAAACTGTCCTGGAGGGGGGAAGGGGAAGATTTGGGTCAGAAAAAAAAATTCAGCTAAGATTGGCTTTGACTACATATCCATCTAATGGACTATCCAAGCAAATCTTAGATCCAACAAAAGGATATCATTAATAATTATAATGTTAGCCTCCATCTTTCAAACAACAATTGAATGTCAGGCAAACATTGGGAGAATCTGGTAGAAAATTTATACAAATGCCAGAAAATAATCAATCATGTTTTACAGCTTTTCCAGGATTAGCTTATTCTCCTTCTCCTCCAGTTTCTACTTCTCCTTCTCCTCCAGTTTCTCCTTCTCCTTCACGGGTTAAGGTGCATTTGTAGAATCTGGAAACATTTTTCTAACAATTATAGTGAAGTTATCACCTGATGTATAAATTGAGTCTCGGCTCATTTCTGACTTGATGTCCTCTCCACATGCAAGCATTCCCTGGAAGGTCCTTCTAGCAGACCCCAAAATTCCTACTGTGTCTTGGTCAGTGAGAACTCTAAGCCCAAGGACTTCAACTCCCAGCTAAGTATTCTGCTACCCGTTGACGCAGCGGATAATTTTAAATAATCCCAGCTGAGAACACCAAGAGCCACCACAAGGATCACCAGAGGCTTGGCCAACATTAAGCAAAGTCAGGGTTTGTAACTTTCATACTACCTAGTCAAAGCCTACTCTAAGTTGTGCAAACTACGGGGTTGTGCACTTGTTTGAACCTGTTTGTTTTTGCTGAGGAAAAACAGCTACTCAAAAGTTGGGTCATAGATGCTTTCCAGCCTCCATATGACAATATATTAGGTTTACCACCCTTTTCCACAAACCGGCTCATATAAGTAACTCACAATTCTTTATAGCTCATCATTCAGAACTGCTCTAATTGTGACTAAAATTTAAATCCAATTTGACCATCAAAAAATTTATTTGTTTATCTGTTAAAATTCAAAGAAATCTGACTATCAACTGCATTTCAGTCTTATTCTTTATATGCGGTAAATCTATTGATGCATGTTCTGTGAATGCCTTTTGTTTCCAACAAAACATAAATTGCAATGGATAAAGCTTCTTAACTTCATCCTTTTCTTCAGAATTACAAGTGAAAAGAATGCTTATATACAGTATTTCTTACAATAAATCTTTAACATAGCAACTGAGGTAGTGAGTATAATCACCAATGGAGAGATACCAACAGTTCTAATAATAAACTAAGCTTCTAATTCTGTGCCACACTATGACATGAGTAGCAACAATGTAAGAGATAAGCATACCTGAGCCTGTTGGGGCACATCCCAGAATTTCCCGTCCTTGCAGCATGAGTGGCCAGGCCTGCTTCTGGATTGCAGTGGGTTCTGAGTAGCCTTGGTTCAGGAGATTGCTCACTAGTACTTCACTTAGCTTGTGCTTCACGACCATCTGTAGAAGGAGTCATTTAGTTGTTTTTGTCTTATTTTTAGTGCCAAATAGTACTGAAACAAATATTTATTTGAACAATCAAAAACAAAATTAAATCCCAT